GATTTACACAGCTGGTAACCCTGGGCACCTTAAAGCACATATATCAAACGCAAGGCCCGCGGATCGAATGTGGCCCGCCACATCATTTTATGTGGCCCGCCAGAGTTTATTAACCGTATGATTGTTTTAGTACAAATGTTTATCTTAAAGGCTCTGTACGTCTAGTTACTTTGAGTAAAACTCAAATCTCCCATAAGGTATGTTAAGGTACGTTAAGGTACGTTACGAAACAGGATGTTTACAATTCTAAACCCTGGTCCTGTTTTATTCTAGCTGAGAATGATCTGGAATATCTCATAGAAAAAGTGATTGAATATGGAGGTTATTTTTCTGAAGCCTAACTTACTTAACAAGATTAAGTTTTTCTTGGGCAGAAATAAACCCTTTTTTTGGTACAAGAGTTGTTGCCTCTTTGGCAGCGTGTGCTTAACATCAGCAGAGGGAACATTATTTCTGTTGAGTCCAAATTAAACCAGTGTAGAGGCTACTTTTCACTGGACTGTGGTCAGAGTCCTTCATTATTATGGACAGATTTTCCCAAGGGTTTGAAATCAAAGCCCAGAGGAGGTGAGAGCGACTGCCTCTCTTTCTCCTCTTGTGTTGAAAGGTTATTATGGAATTATTGATCGGAAACTCCAGTATTTGCTGCCTAGCCCAGCTTAAATGCTCATAATGGCTCAGTAAATAAAATAAATCCAGTGCAATCATAACCCTATCTGTCCGACAGCAGATTTGCTGAACTCTTCAGAAGCCAAATATACATGCTGTTTTTAAAATTCCATTTAAAAAAAAAACTGCTTGCAAACTCATGCTGCTGCAAACCTGCAGTGCCTGAGGAAGGGAGAGGGAGGGTGGGGTTCTGCTGATGAAGCCGAAAACTGCACACTTAAAAAGTTAGTGTCGGTTCTCACAGTGGAGAAAAACCACGAGTTCCTGTCATCTGGTCTATGTATGTTAGCTACACCGTTTGTCTGTACCAGGACTGTTGTAGCTAACGTTAGCTCTGGTGTCTGTACCATGATTGCTTTAGCTAATGTTAGCTCTGGTGTCTGTACCAGGATTGTTTTAGCTAAAGTTAGCTCTAGTGTCTATACCAGGATTGTTTTAGCTAACGTTAGCTCTGGTGTCTTTACCAAGACTGTTGTAGCTAATGTTAGCTCTGATTGTAGCTAACGTTAGCTGTGGTAGAGTCTGTACTCACAGCAACATGTTTGACATTGAGACGATATTCTTAGTAAAAGGAAACCAGACTCTTGCGGTGTTGTGATTCACCTCTCATCCAATAGTCTTCTTCAGGTTTTACCCCCATCGTCTGGTCTATTGTGGAGGTGCAGGTGCAGGTGGAGGAGGAACTCCTGGAGCGTGTAGTCTATGAATGATATTATCCCGAGCCTCAGTGAGTTAGAGGACAGCAGGAGGTTATCATGTGTAAATGTCAGGTGGTTCGACATGATTGAAAATTAACAAGACAAGTCACTGACAAGACAACTGCCCCCGACCCGCAGGTTTGTTATTCCTGTGTCCCTTTGATTTTTTTTTTTTTTTTTTGTTTTCCATTAAAACAGAGAAAATCTCATTCTGTTTTTTCCCCTCACCTGAGCTCCCACAGCCACAGTCCTGCCTGGCGTCCGTCCAGGAACCTCAGCGACTCTGCAGACATCAGCGCTCATTTCCCAAACAGGTTTCACTGGAGCACAATGAAATAAAATGTTTGCACGCGCGCACAAATACCGCACGTACTGTATCCACTCTCTGAGGAGGCAAAGTGAACCGGGCTCTAACAACTTTCTCCGTGCAGCTCGGAAATAAATCACCAAGTAATTACAAAGTGCAATCAGTCAAACAGAGAGTGGATGTGTTTTCACTGGCTCGTCTCTGTCCAACGCTAAATTCACTCTGAAGATTTTACAGCCAGAGCTGCTTTTTTTTTTTTTTTAACTTGGAAGCAACAAACCACTGGAAAAAATGTCTGCGTTTTTCAGCAAAGATGAGGAATTGACAGGTAATGAAGTGGCCGAGGATGTAGGAGCTGCTGTAAAATGATCATAAATATATATTCTGTCGCAGGGATTTCAGTTTAGTGCTGTGATTATCATGCATTTGATTACCTTATGTCACGGATTTTTTTATTTCCTGCACAGATGTTTCCACTGCAACAGACGATCACGGTGTTGTTGTAGGTTCGGTTTGTTCGTCTGACCGTTGTTTTTGGGGGGAGAAAGACCCCGAAAACAACCTGCAGTCACATTTAAATCTGTAAAACTTATAAAAAATACAAAAAATGGGAATATATTTATATGTAGGTCCTCAGTTATCCAGGTCATTTTGTCTGAAGCAGTTCAAACTAGCTTGGCCACCAGAAGCCTGGTGGGCTTCTTCAGAGAGGTCAGAGGTCAAAGGTCAAATGCTTCTAGAGACCAAACCAGTCCGGTTGCCAAGTTTCAATCTACTTTGGATCAGTCTAAGAACTTTTTCAGTATTTTACTTTCCACAAGAAACCCATTTAGAAGTAAACTAACCTGGAAAAAGAGCCAACAACAACAACAACAACAGTAACAATAATAATAACAATAATAAAAATAGAGCTTTTACAGGATTGACATCAAATCCCTTTCAGCGTCTCAGCTGTCAGCCCATTCTGCTGGCTACACAGAAACACAGCACTCACACCTCGGTGTAGGTAAATGAAATAGTGCGTCGGCAGCAGTTTCTGCTGTGATTTCATTCGCAGCCTGGATGTCATCCACGGGCTACATTGTAAGCCGGGTCAAAGGAATTCATTCTTTGCTGAGGCACACACACACACACACACACGCGGCCGATCCCAAACAGGCGCAGACGTCAGACTCTGCAGCATTAATTCTGCACACCTGTACTGATGATAACAGGTCAGGTGGCAAAAGGGAATTCACTGCTGCGGGTGCTCAGGTTCTCTGAACAGCGTTATTATTTTTAGTGTTCTGTGCTGAAGCGGTAGCAGTTATAAGGTGAAAGAAACTCAGAACACAATGCTCTTCCAAATGTTCATTAGCACAACAGGCGAACACTGTCGGTCTTTGACCAGAAACAGTCGCTCGATCTCTGCCGTCCATGGATGTTCAATGACAAATCCAGTCGGGAAAAGAAGGAGTCTTCAGGAAACACGATGGCAGACGTTCGGCGGTTTCCATGGCTACCAAGTCATCCTATACTGTGGAGCGAGATTGTCAGTCTCAATTACAAAACGGGTGATTAGCATCAAGGTACTTGTGCAGGAGGAAGCACTTTCGGATCAGCAGGCAGCTGTGTGACTGAGGGGTAATCAAAGCGTATGATTGCGCTCATTTCATGAGGACCCTGTTTGTTTTGCAGATTAGCTGGAATCACAAAGAGGCCAGAAATTCTCCCACATGAAAGTCAGAAACTTTTTTTTTTTTTACATCTAGTCACACTGAACTTTACATTGAGGTGAATTACTCCTGATTTTGAATGAAAAAGGAAGAGTTCTATAGGATTTAGACATTCAAAACCTATTTTTTTTTATAAAAGTTAAAATTATGGAATTAATAATATGGGACAAAATTGTGTCAAAATTGTGTCAAAATGTATTATTAATTACAAATAATTTAATTCCTCCACAAACTCTCACAAAACACATTGCCACTTAGGCTTTGTTTAATTTTGTATGCACCATTTATATGAAAAAAAAAAGAAAAGTCAATGTCACCCTGCGTCGGTCAGTCAGAGGACGTCATCAAGCTAATGACAAAATGACTTCTGCCTCGGTGGTAATTGACACTGCAGAGAGTGGAGCCCCCTGCAGCCAACAATTAACATATCTCAGATGTCAGTGGTGTTGTGTATTCATGTTCATATTAATGCAGCTTTGAACTCACACTCTGCTCATCTTTGTTGGTGTTTGTTGGGTTCACAGAGACTCATGTACCAGGGTGAGTCGTAAAGTCCTCAGACGGATGTGTGGATTTCTGCAGGTATAGATCAGACGGATGTGTGGATTTCTGCAGGTTCTATACCTGTCGACCTTTGCCATTTTGGTACACTAGGTGATATTATGATTTAGCGCCCCCAATGGCTCCAATTGTAATTTTTTTTTAAATCTGAGGTGGCTACAGCATAGCCCTCCCCAGCAGATGGCACCCTAGGCAACTTGGATATAGAATTATTAGCATATAAAAAGTTTTCAAGATGATGTCAAAAACTGACGTCCAACATCGGCCAATGAAAATCCAAACTAAAATAATCATTGAAATAGTTCCTCTGTTTTAATGTTCAGATTTGGTCAATAATAATTCATGGTTACATTTAGAAAAGAGTTCAGTGACAAGGGTTGGTTTTACAGTGACAGTAATTTTTCACAGCTTATAATAAAAAGTCTCAAGGTGATGAAGAAAGAAGTATTTCGGTGTGAAATACACGGTTCTGGTGTCCTCAACACTAGACCACGTCTGTGGAGTCCCACAGCTGAGACACTCACTGGGATGGTGCCTGATAGACTTAGAAAAATGGATTGGCACTTGGACCAAGCAGGTGGAACCACGGCTTAGACCACCTGTGGTTGTTACATCATTTTTAAAGGACAGTGTGTACAGCTGCAAGGTGAAGACTGCAGAGAAGTGAGCAATTATACCCCAGATACATGACACGACCCAGACCAGGGATGGCTAATCATTTTTCCCCAACTGAAGCTTGAAATCCTGCTGCTGTTTGCTGCTAATAACCAACCGCCATCCTTCTCCATCACCATCACCACCTTACGTTTGCTGCTAATAACCAACCGCCATCCATCTCCATCACCATCACCATCTTACTCCATAGTTCACTTTAAAGAAAGACTATTTCTAATTTTCTCTTTTATTTTAGGGAACATTGTTCCCAGGTTCTTTGCTTAAATGTCACAACCAGCTCCCATTTATTTCTACAAACAATTGCCGAGATCCACAGTAATAACTAAAATCTGCCAACGCAAACATTTGTGAAACACATACATACATCTTCTTGATGATTTTTGTCTGTCTGTTTCATGGTATTTAGGAATGTTTATTTAAATTACTAATGTGAAAATAAACCTTGATTAATCCAGAGCTACGCTGTGATTAATCTGATTAAACCTGTAATCGATTGACAGCCCTGATTAATGTAGGTCAATAGACAACCTTTCTATTTTTTGTAGTGTTGTAGTGTATTTTCTAATCTTTTGGGCTTGTTTTTATTCGGATGCTTGTTTCCCCCAATCTGGCAACCCGGACTTAACTTTCACGCTTTAAGGCCGATAAGAGAGGCGTATTATTTATCTGCTACGACGGCAACGGATAATTTCGAAACAAACGAATCTAAGTTTTGTTTTTTAAATTATCCTTGTTTTTTTATTTGTATTAATTACCGTGTATGACATTCACAAATTAAATCACGGCGTTCAAAATGTCGTCGCTGACTCTGAGGAAAAAGGTAACGTAGCCAGGTATGTAGCCATTAGCTCGTGTCACGGTTAACGTTCATCAGGGAGTGTCTGTACTTCAACGGAAGACATGAAGGTGTGTTGTGTTGTCTTTTCTATTAAAAATACATCACCGGTTCATATATTGATGTTGTTTGTGTACTTGTTGTGGCTGTAGTGTGTCTGCGTTTTTGTCTGAAAGTTAAAAAAAATCCTTTATCCATGTCAAAGTGTTATTTTACCGTCATTTTTTGTGTTTATTGACATATATAATATATTGTGTGAAGGAGAGGGGAAATTAAATTCGTGCACTTCACCAAAAATGTCAAACGTTAAATGGTGAAATACCTGCTGACAAGGAACAAAATGGCTGCTGAAATAATTTGTCTTTATATTTTTATTTTAATTTTACCAGTTTTACCTTCAGAGTCCTACAGGGGGCTATAAATAATATGTATTATTATGTGAACTAGTCGTACAATCAAGAACAGCTTTTGTCTGCCTGCCTTGGTACACTTAATATTCTGTTTTTTCAAGTGTGAATTGTGTTCATAGTCAGAAAAATAAGTGCCTCTGAATTTCATGGCTGTTGTTCTCCTTATTTATTTTCTCTCTTTTCTCTCCTGTTGAGCAGCAGAAAAGGCAGAAAAAACGTAAGTTAAAAAATATGAAAAGACTGAAGTTTTTGGTTACAAAAGGTTTTTCTGTGAAGACAAGTACGAAACAAAGGCATGAACTGAGGTTTTTTTTTTCCTGCAGCAGCAACAACAACGACGAACTTCTGATTTTAATGCTGCTGTCTGCTTCTATATGTGCTTCACACTCACTTGGTATAAAACCAAATGTTTGAGAGGAGCTTCAACAATGAGAATGACAAAAGCAAAAAGTGCTTCAAAAAGTGCTTTTCATACTGAAAATTTTCTCAGGTTTTAATACAATACCCTAAAAAAAGTGACTCTTTCTTGTATTATACATTTAAATATTTTCACTGACTGTTTCTAGTGTTTAACACGAGGCTTGTTTGTGTTCAGTTAAAGCCTGGTGTATCTGACATTTCCCATTCCTCCATTTTTGTTTGTAGATGATGAGCTGATTAGCAGGTGGGCAGTTTGAAGAGTGCAGCTTTGATGTTGGAGTGGAGAAGATCACCATGGGAACAGACACCTTCGTGGGCATCGACATGGAGGGTAAGTCAAATTTACGTGCAACTTACACCACACCGTACTTACTAAAGTGTTGACGTTTATATGTACTGTATAGTAGATAAGAGGGACTGTACACCCTCTGGTGGTTTGGTCGTTAAGTAAGCAGACTTGTGTCCGGGATGTCACAGGTTCAAATCCCTCAGCTCCCTGGTGCCACTCAGCGTGGCTCCGTCCCCATTCAGTACTCCCCGCACACTCAGCTTGAGCTGCTCACTATTTGTTTGAACTGTCTTTGTGTGTGAATAGGAATGTGAATGGTTGTAACCCCACCTTTGTCCAATCACTGCTGGGTTCAGCTCCAGCTTCTCTGGTGACCCTGAAAATCCAATAATAAGACAAAGATAAATATACTTTCCATCCATCCATCCATTTTCGTCCGCTTATCCGTTACCAGGTCGCTGGGGCAAATCACACTGCACCGTACCAACCCCCCCCCCCCCCCCCCCCCCCCGCCTGAACCTTCCTGCGGGTGGTGAGTCCACTGTAAGGTACCAACCGCCCTAACTGGGATTCGATCTTGCCACTAAATATATATTTTAGGTTTCCAAATAAAGTTTACTGAGCTTAAGTTTGATTTTTTTTTTTATTTATTATTTTTATTTACCATTGATGTTCTGTTATTCATTGATACAGTAGATAATCTCTATACCAACACATTTGCAGTAGACAAGGAGCTGGTGAGACCAAATGATGTTGACAAGAGCTTCACAATCATTTTAGCTCTGAAGATTAAAAGACTGGTCCAACTAGCAGGGCTTACAGCCAGACGATAGATGAAAGACAGTGAGAGGCTTTCATCAGTCCGGCTCAGATCATCAGTGGGTTGATAATGATGATGATGATGATGATGATGGTATAAACTCGTACTCGGCATGGTTACATTCAGTTGTTTAAAAGGCTGTCTTGTCTGATCTACCTTCTGTTTGTGAGTTCAAGCTTTTGTCTTCACTGCATTTATTAAATGCTAAAAATGGTTTTTCCTTTCAAGTGGTTAGAAATACAAATATTGTAATTGCCGTTGAGAGCGTAAACCTGATGTATTGTTATGGATAATTACGTAGTCAGAGGTAACAGTGACTAATACAGCATTTTATCACACATTATTTCAAGTTTTTATTTTAAAGTCTGTTTAGAGCTGGTGTTCAGTCAGTAATGGACGATCTCAAACAATGACAGTCTTTGGTGTTGGGCTAAGACTGCTGTGGTGTGCTAAAAGATGTCTTTTTTTTTACCTATGCAGTGCATAGCTATGACTTTGCTGTTGCTCTGAGGGGTTGATGATGAAGTTTTGGTTGTGGAGTCTTGAGGACATTTTGTTTTTCAGGAACATTATTGTCTATTGATGATGAAGTTTTGATTCTGGAGTCTTGAGGACATTTTGTTTTTCTTTAGTTTTATATTTGATTCCATGACATGAATGTTTTTGAGCAGAGATATTTTCGCCGCTACTGAACAAAAGCATCGGTGCAGGTTGGACTCGTTCGCGGTTGGCATTACGTATAAATCTAAAAATGGCTCAATGTAATGTTAGCTAGAATCCCCTGATGTTGCCCGTTCATATTCAAATGCTGTTCACAATATGTATAATTTAAAGAAATGAACTTGGTGTGTTTCTGTGTGATCGCACATGTGAATAGGTATGTGCATGGGTGTTTGTGTGTATTTGTATGTGTATCTGTATGTGGGTGTGTGTAGACAATGGGTGTAGAAATGAAGTAAATTTCCTCAGTATAAAATAAATCTTCCTCCTCCTCCTCCTCATACGGGTTTTGTAGAGAGAAGGTAATGAATTTGTGCTGACAAAAATGGACTACGTTATTAAACATATGTAAACAACATTACTGTGACGCAGAAACAATATGGGACCACAATGCAATGTGACCCGGGGTGTTAATCTACAACGCATCGCGACAAGTCGCTTCGTCAAAGAGAGAATTTAGAGCAAATTAACATAAGAATTTCCCCCGAGGACGCTTCTAATCAGAGTATACTACTGTTTTGTGCTTCTGCTTAATGAATCATAGGAATTATCCTCATATTATAAATGGCGAGTCTTCGCAGGGCTATTAGTTTGTTTCTTTAGGGTGTCTAATAGAAGACATGCTTCATTTAGGGGCCCTGCAGTGTCCCACAGCAACACACAATGAATTGCATTATTTCCAACAGCTGCCATTTCCCAACGATCTTATCAGTGGAACACTAACATAATGTGGCGGAGGAAGTTATTATTCCAGGCCAGCCATCTCACTCTCACTCTGTAATAGCATTCATCTGTCTGGGCAGGTCTTTTACTTCCAGCGCTCCGTCCTCCTTGTTCATTTTCCCCACACATTCTTCTTCAATTATAAAAGATGAGTTCCCTCAGTAAATATATTCCCTGCTCAGGATTTATATTCAGCGACAGTTTGCCTTTAACTTTAATTTTAATGCTAATGTCTCTGTGCTTTAATAACTTCCCGGCGTGTGAAGCGTGTTTGGCGGAATGTGCCGCTGCCTGAATGCAATAACACCTCATTCAAGGCGTTGATTGAATTTCTGCCGCATCTTCAGGTGTCTTTGACTCGTAGAACAAATGTTCTTTTATCCTATTACTGACTGCTGACTTACTTTTCTCTATTGATATGCTGCCCAGGTTCGTGTGTGTTTCCAGGCTCTGAATACACTGCCTGATTTCGGGCAGGTAGTCCCAGCATGTGGGACTCATCATGGCCACTTGACGCCTGCCTCGTCCCTCACATTCGTTCATCATCCCACAGCAGCACATTGTTTTCTGTCTCCATTTTCTAGGCCATTACAGTCACACTCACAGTCCCATTGACATGTCCAATCATTTGTTATTACCATGTTCCCCTCTGAACACCGGCATTACAGGTGCTTTCATAACACTCATGTAACTGGGAGGCGTGGGAGGGGAGGGGACATGGAGGGGGGGGGGTGAAGAAGATCATTCGGGGCTTGTTCTTCTGCCTGTTTTTCATGGACATGTGCAATTTTCTTTTTTTTTTTTTTTTTACTTTTGACATTTTGTCATGTAGCTTTAAAAGGCTTTTGTCATTAGGTTCGATAAGGTTCCTCTCAAACCAGCAGTTTAGTGGAAAGGTGGTTAGTGCTTTTGCCTTACAGTACGACGTTGACGGGTTCAAACCTCGTTCTCATGATCGGCCATGAATGCTAGAGTTTTAGTCGTCCACTTTAATGAACCGGAGGTCAGTCTGTCCAGGGTGTAACCCGTCGCCCTGCTCAACGTCCGGCCTTTGACTGTAAAAATGCTGATACGTGATTAGACAACCTATCCTAACAGAGACGCTGTAATTAAAGCTAAAAAATGACAACAGTGAAACTGTCAGTGGACACAGTCGGCCATTTCTGTTGGCATACTGTGAAGCCTAGTATTGAGCTGATGGTTTGTAAAGACAGAGTGGAGAGAGAGAAAAAAAAAATCATGAATCTGGTTCTCAGACAACTTCTGGATTCACACGTTATAGATGCTTCAGGGCAGCTGATCACTGTAAACCAAAAGGTCTCAAAGTTTTTATTTATACATTTTAAAAAATAACATTCAGTAGATATTGGCAATCTTTAGTCATTTCTTTATCTTTCACAAAAAAAAACAACTTAAAAATGTGTGCAAAACATTGGATATCAGGCCAAGTTGATGTATTATTTAAAAGTAATTCAGAAGCAGCTTGTTATACACTGTGCAGTGTATTTTTCACCATTTGCTCTCATCTTTGATGTGTAAACAAAACAATTCAACATGCCGGGGTGTGCTTGAAAAAAAAAAAAAAAACATGTGAAAATATTCTTATTTCCACAGCCTTTACACCGTAGTAGGAGCTCAGGCTGTGGCCTGTACAAACTGCACTCATACTTATGGTATAAGGGCTGTCGATAATGTCTTTATTTCCATTGGTCGATATTGTAATTTAAGGCAATAAAGTGACAGATAAGAGAGGTAAAAAAAAGCAGTCAATGATCATCGAGGACTAAAGACCACTAATGGCACATTTCTAACCACTGTCAAGTCTGCCGAGTCGGCACTTTGTTTGATGGGATCAATTTGTGCGAAGTGCTAGAATGTAGTTTTACTTGAAGTCTTAAAGGGTTATTTGACAGTATCTCAGTGAATCCAGATTTAAATTAGATTAATTTCTTTACAAAAGAACAAACCGTTGACGAGTCCGACCGGTTGACCTGTAGCTCCTCATTTCTTATTCTTACTGTAGGTCAACCATATAGAAAAACAGAACAATTAAACTACTCTTGCATGTTGTTGGACTCTTGGAGTAAACTGGAGTAGCTGGAGAAGTACTCTGAGAAACTGGAGGACCTGGAAAAGTACCGGGACAAAAACGACGTCTGTTTCGATGCCACCTTTGTGGGACAGAGTTTATGAACTTAGCTACAGTAAATAGTTTGTTCTTGGAGGATAGTACTTACAGCTACACTTGATAACTACATTACTTCCGTGATGTCGTCTCACAAATGGAAGAAGACGGGGGAGTGCATATTTTACAATGACTGATGTCTGATGTAGTACACACACACACACACACCGGTGTAGTGAGGTATTGGCAGACACAACAGTGAGGCAGAGTTTATAAAAGAGTCTGAGTCAGCGTTTGTCTCAACCGTTCATATGAGAACATTAGTATTTATTATCAGGGTTGGGGGGGGGCTTTTACTGGAAACAAAGGATGAGGAACGGTACAGTGTGATGAATGAAGTATCGACTCACTAACAGTCTGTCTACACCGTGCACACTCTTAAAGGGGTTGTTTAGATATATTCTGCATTTCAGGAGTTCACATATGAGTTAACTTGACACTCGCACATTTAGTGTTATGGAAAACTTGGCTGACTGCACAGAGACACGAGGGAAGGACCGACCAGCCGACTGAAAAAAAAATGCTTACTGTCAAAACCGATGATTGGTTCCACACAGGATTTGATGATTTTAACTGACATTAATTGTGATATAA